GCTTCTTCGATCGCTTCTTGCTTAGAAATAGCTGGTTGGAATACGTATGGTTGGGGCTCGATGGCCTCTGCGCCAATGGTATGCTCGTCGTCCGAAGAGATATACGAATCCTGATCAGGGATTGAAGGAATGGGCCGACTTGGGTCAAATGTACTAATTGTTTGAAGGCTGGAGTATGATGCACGAGCCTCGCGGTTTAGGTGAGGGAACCAAGAGGCGTCGGTAAAACCCGAAACTCCGCTCGGTTCTCGAATATACGACTCCTGTGGCACAGGCGGGATCGGTCGTGAAGGTTTCGCTGGTCTTGCAGGTCTTCCTAGATCTGATACAGAATCGGAGGTCAGCTCGGGAGTAGATTCTTCTAACTCTGCGTCTGTAAACACTAATGTACGCCTATGGCTTCGTCCTGGCTCCTCGGGTAGCTCTAAAACTAGTTTATCCGGGAATGTAGTAAGATTTAAAGCCTCTCCAGCTAGCTGCTCCAACTCTGCACGGAATTCTTTGATCCAATTCGGTGCCTCCCTCACCTGCGGAGACGGTTGGTGAACAGACTCTGCAGGTGATGGTAGCATATATCCTTCAAAGTCCCCATTCAAGTCTAACTGTAAAGCCGATGCGCCGGGTAAGGTGCCCAATACTGGTGCAGCAGCTTTCGGAGTTGGAACGCGAGGAGGTGGTGCAGCATGACCAACTGTGGGGCCTTCCACGCGCATGTTCTTTTTCTTCGCTATGGGTATCTCAGGGAGCTGGAAGGACGTGGCGTCAAACAGTGGTTCATCTGTTTTGAAGGTTGGTAGCTTGAGTTGAGGAGGAGAGGCCCTCGGGCTTTCTCCGAGGATTGGAGACTTAGCCTCCTTGATAAAACTGAGTAGTCGTATTCTGGATTTTCCTGTTGTTGTAATCCGATTGAAGGCGGATTTCATCGCGGCGACAGTCGCACTAGTCGGTGTCCTTGAGCCCTCCGACGTAGGACTTTGTACTTCAACGATGAACTCGTCCGGGATAATGAGTCTTGAAGGCGGTCTGATGAGTAGCGGGCGATTTTTCGGCGGGACCGGTGGCGCCTCTTCGATGTCGAGAACAGGAATAGGAGATTCTGCACGCAATGGGTCTGAGCGAAACGGGTCTGAAGACAGGATGTCAAAGCGAGACCCGTCTTCGTATTGGTAGTCGTCGTACGGTGCAAGTTCAGGAGCTTCAGCAGCACTGCTTCTCCCTTTGGGCGTTCGTAGAAGT